ATAGCTCCTGAATATCCTTGCAATTTTTGATGTCTCTTAATTTGATACAACTCTTGCATTTTTTAATCGAATTATGCAAATCCTGAAGCTCCTCTTCTTTAGATTTTCTTCATTCTCGACATTTCAGAACTTCATTCCTTTTACTTAATCTTCATCTCATCTCATCAAACTAATTTTACCTCGATAATAATTCGATAAAGGATTTCAATCGGTCCTAGAATAGTAATACAATGGTGATAAATTGATTGAGATAAAATTGTAGAAGGGACTTGAATTTTTGAATAATTAAAAGCATTATACATTCATATCGACAATTTATTTTAAGCCATTGTCGATGGGTATTAATGGCCGATAATAGTCACGGTGGTCGTTGCACAGTTGGCCATGAATATATAATGTGGCATTGTCTTTTCGAATTGGTCCTTGATAGAGATCGTGTATTGCATACTTGACAAATTACTCGGAAATGAGCGACGAAGAAAGCTACATTTTGCAAGACTTCTTTCAGTCTGATAGAATAAACATCTACTGATATCGACAATTCATTTTCAAATTCAAAGGTTTGTTACATCATAATCGAATATCAATGAATAATTAAATTTTGTAATTTTATTGAAGGATATACATATAATATTTTTATTTTTGGATATCGTTTTTAACCACGTTAAATTTTATATTTATTAAAAATAAATTGATGTATTTATCAATACAACCGAGAAACAAATATGAATTTATTGACATTTACACTATGATTTTAATAGATCAATTATTGTACTTCCATATTCTCCACTCTGTACTTTTATATTCTATGATTATTATTCTCTAATACTTTAGACAATTCGTATTATTTACACATTTGTAATTGTTATATTGTGTTATAATCAAACACTTGGCTTGTATTAAATTGTGGTTCGATTTGTCTAATCTTTCAACAAAGAGAAACGCGAACATTATCTGAGTAAATGTTTCAAGAATCCAATCCGGTTTTAACGATCTAGTCGGTTATTTGAACACCTTGAAACTTTCGGACGTTTCACAGCGTTTGGAGAAATTCCGAAACAACTTGTCGTTGTTGCCTAATTTGGAACTCGTAAGAAACTAAAATGTCGACATCGACACTTTTTACCCTGTGCGACTTCATATGGATTCTGAACAAGTACCTCACAAGCGTAAATAGATTACAAATAAAAAAAAAAAAAAAACAAATATATAGAAATAAAAAACGACATGGAAATATCTATTTGCAAAAATTAGAAGCTTCTTAAAAGTTCGTATTCATCTTGTATTTTATATTATTTTTTTAATTGAAAGAATCATTAAATATTTGAGTTACTTCGTTTTTCAATAATCTAAATGTTTTCAATAATTTTTCAACCACTAACTTTCAATAATTTCTTAATCTTCTATTAATAATATTTCCTTCAGTTTGGCGAATTTTCTACTCATTAAACAATAATAAAATTTCTTTAAACTTTTGAGTTTTCCAATCATCAGAGAATTAGAAACTCAAATTTCTTTAACGTTCTAACTTTTGTTTTTTCAAATAATTTCTTGAATAATTATAATTTGCATGCATTCGTAAAATTATGATATTTTCGATAATACTAACTGATTGACGCTATAAGGAAAAAGGATAATCTAATGTGTCTCGTAAACATTTATTTAGTAATTTTTAATAGCATCCTATTGCTGGCCTAGAGTTACATCAAGAGTATCGTCGATTTCTCGGTCGAATGTGTTTAATTTTTCTAGTGTCTTTCATAACAGCGTCATTACTTGACGAGAACAGCTGAGAAGAGTTGATTGCAACGCTTCATTTTTTGAAAATTGATATTATGGGCATTAAAATTACCTCGTTACTTCGTACAAATTCAGATTCGTAATTTCAATTCGCTGTGGATAAGCTCCCGTTAAAAAAAAAAAAAAAAAAAAAAAAAAAAAAAAACTATCACTAGTACTAAAATTAATAACTAACAGTAAGTGAATTTCTGAAATAACAAATAAGAAAATAAGAGAGTAAATCTCTCCGTCTTGTGGACCATATGGTTTGAAATATCCAAAAATTAAACATTGTCGACGTTCTGTAATATTTAATAATAATACTTTATAAAATAATAATCTGTGATATTTAATAATAATACTTTATAAAAGCATTATATATTGGATTCACAAAAGAAATCTACAATTTTAGAAATCAATGTACATTTATCCATTCTATTAGTTTTCGACTTATGGCTATGCTGTTGCATATTATAATTGTTATATATGAATTACTAAAAGTTATTGTTTAAAATTAAAAATTAAAATTATTAAACAATATTAAAGAATCGAGTTTATTACGTAGTTATGATAAATCAATTATTAAACTATTAAATTAAACTGTTAATTTTGAAAATATTGAAGAATTTAACGAATCATTTAACCATTAAAGTTATTAAATATTGTATAACACTATCATGGAAACGTTATTAATAATTCTTATAAATAATTATATTAATTATATAATAACAATTCTTCTAAATGATTCCTATAAAAGTTTCAAATAACGGGGCATTTAGAAATGTTATAGAAATGAATTAATGATTTCATTGTCATAAATAAATTATTAGAAATATTGGATAATGTTTAAACGAATAAAAGATTGAGAAATTTTATTGAAATTATTTAATTTCTTTAGGCGTATGTATATACGCAAATTCAAGATAATGAATTTTTTGCCAATAATGAGCAAAATTTTATTCGACTGATTATTGACGGATCAATGGAGATCAAAAATAATGAATAAAATTTTATTCATTGATTTGAATTCCTACTACTAGTAGCGCTGCCATGCAAAACCTGTTGTAAATCGGTATAGTAGAATGTGACACGAAAATGGTAAGGGGGCTGCAGGGCCCCCCCGAGCATGTAACCATATAGACAATACGATAATTCTAAAATTGTAGATTGAATTTTTTCTTCTATTCAATCTAATAATCAGCTAATAATCAAAGAAAAAAATTGTTTAAAATACCCCTCTATAATTTTAAAAAAGAAATACCAAGAACTGTGTAGAAATAAAACATTTCTCGAGAAATCTAAATAGAACCAAAAACATTTTCCAACAGGAATTTTTCAAAGTCAATAATGCGATTTAATAATCTAAATTGTAAACCTCTTCGACAATCAATGACTGAATCACTAGTCAGAAAGCTATTATTTAAACAAAAAAAATAATCTCTCGACCTTCTTTCTTCATTTTTCAACAATCAATAGATGTATTTAAATTATTACTTATTTACTCTACAAAAACTTACAAAATGATTCAACGCCGCAAATTTTTACACCATAAAATGAAATATACAAAATATAATATAAAATATTTTACTTCAAGATGGCAGTAGCACGTTCTCCGGGAACGTCGAGAAAATCACGTTCGTGAAGTCCATGATCAATTTGGCGATAGTTTCCTCCAATTTTGGCCTGATTTCTGCTATCACCATGTTCCAGTTGTCGTTCAGAAAAAGATTCATAGCCGCTGAGAGTGTCTCATCGCCGTCGAACAAATTATCCAAATACACAGTGGCGTATCCAATATCGAAATCGACGTAAATGTCCTCCACCATTTGATGAATCAATCCTGTTCTCTCGTCGCAATAACGTGTCAATTGTAAAGCCATGATAATGTCGATGTCTGTGAAGTTTCCACGAGCAACGCCGTTTCCTGTGATCGGTAACATCAAGATTCTACCGTTCATGATGTAATTCGCTATCATTTCTAGTCGTGGAATGTAGAGATTCAGATGTATTACATTTTTCTCCAAGTCGAACCTGATTGAAAAATATTTCTTTGTGAGGTTAACTTGATTAGTCGAAATTATGGAGGGATAATAATTTATCTTCTTGAGAATAATTTAGAGGAAAAAATGATAAAAAGTCATGAATTGGTAGAGAATCTTCTTAATTTTTAGTCTCTTGAAGTTTCAAATCTTCTAGTTTTTAGGGAAAGAATTTTTTTTTTTTGTTTTTTATACTTTGAAATTAGAAGAATTTAACAGAAAGAGACTTTTTAATTTTTCACAGGGACAATTGAAGAATGAACTTTTTGACAATTTGTCTTTTGACTTTCAAGTCGATTTTTGAGAATCAAAGGAATTGAAATATTGTTCAATAATAGAATTTTTATTTTTATTCAGTTACTTGAAAATTAGTGACAAGTTTCCAGTGAAAGTTATTGCGACAAAATGTCTCTAAATACGTGAAATTCATTGATGAATAATTAACACGTAATAAATCAAATATAGAGATAATCTTTAATTTAAAATTTCAGACAAATATAGAAAAATGCATATTAAGTTATTTTGCGCTTATATTTTTGTTAAAAATATGTCTTTTAATTCCGTGAATATTTCATTCCAATATTAATTAATTTATATTAATGATATTAATTTACAAAAGTAGTATACAATATTTTGCGCGTAGTATACAAATGTGCATTGAGATGTAAAGACGTACCTAATGCTTTTAGGCGCGAAGTTAGTTCCACCATATATGGACACGTTGTTATACCTCGCGCAAATATGAATTGGACCGGAAGCTTGATCAATTTCGATCTCCTCCAATCGAAATGGTTCACACGCTGGAATCCCAAGGCCTGGTATTCCATTTTTTAAATACGGTTTCAACGAAACGACACTTTCCATTATACAGTCGTTGAAGAATGGGTCATTTTGATGACATATCTTCAAGAATGATGCTGAAGAGGATCAAATTGTCCATTTAACCAAAACAAATAAAATAAAATAATTTTATTTGATATAATTCGTTTTTTTTTTTTAAATAATATTTTGTTTTCATACGGATTTCGTAGGGGATTCGTCGTATAACTTATTTATTCTTTTACGTATTTATCCAACGATTCGAATTACATTTTATAAAAAAAAATTCCCATTTTGTTAATTATAAATGTGAGTAGCTTTTTTCTTCTTTGTGACAAAAATAAATTCAAGTATTATGGTCGCTGTTCATTAGCCTTCAATTCTAGTTAGGTCTGAATTCTTCATATATACTTAGATCGCATGATTTTACGTACGATTCATCGTGAATTAAATGCGAGTGTTCTAGATGCAATGTTAACACCTGCATACCGGGCGTTTGAAAAATAACGTATTCCTTAGAATATATCTTTTAAGAAAATAAAATTAATTTTAAGAAAATTCTTTTAAGAAAATTAAATTAAATTAACTCTAATTGAAAATAGTTTTGAGAATATTTGTTGCGGAATAAAGTTGAATTTCAGGAAATGTACAGTTAAACACAATGTGAATATTATCGCGAATATTTCATTTAAATATCAGGGTAAACAAAACAATATATCTATGCGCGGAATAAAGAGAAAATAAGATACTTACGAATTTCTGAAACAGGTAATGCAACGGACAAGCAACTTGTCACCAAAAATGTTAACAAAAATTCGTAGAGTCGCATTGTTGTTGTCACGACGAGGTTCAATCACGAAATAATATCGTGCCATCGAAAATCGCGAACGTATCATCGATTGGTAATCCGCTGACATCGCCATTTCTATTATACCTCCAGCTCCGTTTACGGATTACGCAATTTAATGTTCCGATATTTGTCAATTTTATTGCACTTGTCATTCTTGGCAGGTTGAGACGTTGACTCAAGGAAGTAAAATGTAGCCTCTGAATATTTTTAATTGAATATTGATTATATATTCATAAAAGGTTCTGATAGGTGTTCGAATACTTTCATAAACAGCTAAGTATCTAACAAAGTTTCATCAAGATATAACAAAACATCCCAAGATGAAAATTCCTAGATGAAAATTCTGAGAAGATAGTCTGCTTATGTAATATTAAGTCTATTAAGATAAAAATAAAATAACCTCATCAAAGTTAACCCTCTCACATTTTCCCGATGTACATTGGTCTCATCTGTATCTAACAAAATTTTACTAGGCTGCAATAAAATAGATCACCAATTTCTTACAATGAAAATTCAATTTCAGTAATAATATCTTTATCGAAGTAAAAATAAAACCGTACTCTTTCACTCAAGAAACAATCTTCTCACATCTTTTCAATCATGTTCCAACATTTTCCTCAATCATCTCATCTCTCTTTTTCTCGAGAACCAATCTTCTCACAACTTCCCAAGCATGTTCCAACATCAACCAGCACGAAAGGGTCCAATAAGAATTCGAAGCACTCTCACTAGCAAACTACACCTAACAGAATTTCACAGCCTAGATCCCCAAATCAAAATTCCAAGAAGACCTTCAACAGCGTCTTTATCAAGAAAAAAACCTAGCCTCACCTTCACCCAAAAACCAATCTCCTCGCACCTTCTCAAGCATACACATTTACCCCAACCTTCTCACCGAATCATCGAACAAAGCACAAGCTCCCCATTAAGCACCTCGTCGCAGGTACCACATACCGCGATGTACATTTAAGAACAAGCATATTACGCAATAGCTCCAACGGCGCGCTATTTGTGGCGTTTTAGACCCGGCTGGCCGCCATGATTTCTTCCACTTAAGGTCGGGAAAGGACCTTGCCCTCTATTAGACGTCTCATCGAATGCGCTATGCAACTGGCTGGAAGAAGAAAAAAAGAGAGAGAGACAAAAAAAAAGAAGGCGTGTAAACATCTAAAAAGATCACCTAGTTAACGAACCCCAGAGGAATCAGAGTATGGTCCATGGCCTAGATCCGGTGCCCTTCCACGCCGCTGTATAAAACCGTCGGGCAAACGCATCATCCACTCGCGATCTTCGCTTTTGCACGAGCACGCACGCCTGTAACACGCGATAAAGAAACATCGAAGTAACAGTGACAGTAATGAAGATCGTGAAGAATCTTGTCGACTTGGCTTCAGTCTTGGATTAAATCCTTGGAACATCCTGGAGGAGCGGAAGATCATCGCCCCGGGTGTTAAAGTGTTGATGTGCGCCGCTCTTTTCTGCTTGCTTTTGACTGTCATCGTGATCGCCATCGTTGTTCTCTTGATATTCAAGCCTGTCTACGTTTGGGAGATCAAAAGCTTAGAATAGAGGCTTTTCCTTCAAGGAGGAAATCTTTGACTCTTGAGGAAGGAAATTTGAGAGATTCTACTTGGAACATTCGAAGGCACGTTGTCTCTGAAGATCCTTGATTTGTGAAGATTAATTTCGAAATTGTTAATTAGGGTATTATCGAAAATACTTGGAGAGGATACTCTGACTCTTGAAGAAGCATTTTGAAATGACTGATTAAAATATTTGAAAGTACTGGCGATTCTAAATTCTCTTTGACTCTTGAGGAAGGAAACTCGATCAATTCTATTTAAAATATACTTGCAAGAACCTTGACCATATTTGATCAAATATTCGAAAAATAATATTTCAGCATTCGAGTAGCACAGAACTATTTCTCAATTAAAATAATAAACCTACGCAATGACGAAGATCGTAGCTATTACGCTCTTAGCATTGGCCCTGTCGACCCTGGCAAACTCTCAGGGAACCCTGTTGGAAATGTCTCAGCAACTCTGGGCGAAGCTTCTGTCAGGCGGGTTCTCGAAGGCAGGCAAGCTAGATCCGCTAAAAGTCCCAGTGATCAAGGTGGACCAGTCCGAAGGAAATACCAGCTACCGAATAATCCTTCGAAACGTAGAAATCACAGGACTGAACGAGTCGACTCTAGACAGCATCCACATAGCTCGAGGTCGGCTGAAGTCGAACCTCAGTGAACTGGAGGCTGGCTACGTAAGTTACAGCGACCTGAGAGATCTGGACTCCATCAGATACAGATTCCACACGTTGATCAAGGAACCTAAGGAGCAGAACGAAAGCTTCGAGGCCATCGTCTCCGCTGCCAATCAAGGGAATAAGTTCGTTGCCAGCTCCAAAGAGCAAGAGACCCGCTTCGACAGACTCAGACAATACGACCCCTTCCTGATGAAGATCCAAGAGGAAAAAATGAAGGAGCCGATCATCGATCGTGCTCAGAGTAATCGTAAATTGCACCAGGAGCCCGGTTTCCGTACGTACAACATGGAAGGCGCGAAAGTTCTCTCGAAATCGGATACCACTCAAATCATAGAGAACCTGAGGTATCCCGCGGACGTTCAACTGATGTACGCGATGAGCGCGATGAACTCTGGATTGAATTCGAGGAATTACGGGCAGCAGGAGAGTTACGACAGGTCTAGATCAGGCTCCTATAACAGCCAGAGCAGAGAAAGTGGAGAACAGAGTTACAGAAGAGAGGAGAATTTCGGCAGTAGGCGGACCGAGGAACGTTACAGGGACGCTGAAACTTCAGCATCTGAGAACGTAGAGAGTAGAGTAACGGGTCTGAGATTTGTCCCCGGACAGATCAGCAGGGCTTACGGTGGAGAATCGAGGCGTCTGGAGAAGCAACCGGGTTACATCGACATCGTTTACGCCGATGGGAACCGTAATGGCGGCGTGAGACGCTTTGGGAATGACAGACTCGAGTCTAGGGAAGATGCAAGAGTATTCGGCACGAAGGATGCTTCGAAGGTATGAACGAAATGATTTTTCTACGCTTGTTTAGAGAAAGATGATTTTTCGTGATTCTCCTTCAGCGAAGAGAGATGTTCGATTTAATTTTTTTAGATAATAAGTAACGATTTTCTAACTGCAGACGCTTCCTTGCAAATTAATGCGAGTTTCTGCTAGAAAGTGATATAAAAAGAGATAAAATTCATCTTTCTGTAGCTTCCTGGTACGTTGCTGATGCGATTAGGTAAAGAGATAGTGTAATATTAAAGTTAGCTTTTAAAGACTCGCGTGAAGTTAGTTTGTGATGGTAGATGGAATTGCGTAATCATTTTCCTCGTTAGAGTGAAAATGTTATATATGTTTTAAAATTACCATTTCTACGAAATGAATTTATAAGTTCATTAAGAATCTTTCGGATAATTAGTAAGTAATTATTGATTATTATAGTGAACCATGTAGTAGATGATTCAATTATAAAATATAACGTATAACGTTATTAAAATTATGTTAAATTAGTCAAAGTCCCTCGAAATCTTAAAAAAATCTTCAAATAATTTAAATTTTAATACGGGAAATTAAACTCTCAGATTCCATCAGATACTCTGAAAAATCTCGAGATAAGAGAGAACACTAGAGAAAGCTCTTAAAAGTAACAATAAAATTTTAGAAACTTTTGTCCTCCTTTAAA